GTGTGTGGTGGATTCGATGCATTGCGTGTGTGGTGGAGGATTCGATGCATTGCACGTGTGTGTGGTGCAGGATTCGATGCATTGCACGTGTGTGGTGGATTTGATGCATTGCGTGTGTGTTTGTGGCGGAGGATTCGATGCATTGCACGTGTGTGTGTGTGTGTGTGTGTAATGGATTCGATGCATTGCACGTGGTTTGCTCCGAGCGCGAGAGGGGAGAACGGCGGACCCCTTCCTATCCAATACCAGAGACGGAAGGGACCTTGGGCAGGAGACCCTACGACAGCTTCTGGTGGCAAGCCGTTCCACTGGTTAATTGTTCTCACTGTCAGGAAATTCCTCCTTAATTCCAGGTTGCTGCTTTCCTTGGTTCTGGTCCTTTATTAACTTTCATCAGTTTACAGCATAATAAAACAAAAAAAAAAAGATAGATGAATAAAGGCAAAGCTTAAAATAGGTTTAAAAGTAAGTTAAAATCTGGGCTGGCCAGCACGGTAGATGGTTCCACGTGCAAGTTGGACTACTGAACACCCCCCCCGAGGCCCCTCCCCCAAGAGGGGCCGCTACATGAATTTGATTAATATATAAATCCACTAAAACGAACCCCACCTCCCCCCCCCATTCTGCCTCCCTCCTGTGTCCATCCTTTCGTTTGCGTTGTCATTTTATTGGGTCTTGATTATATACTTGATGGTTTTAATGTTTATTTTGGTTGCTGTCAGCCACCCAGAGTTGCTTCGAAACGAGACTCGTGGCAAATCAATTTAATACATACGTTTAGTAAGCGAATGAATGAATATAAATAAATAGAATGAAGAACAAGAAAGAAAGAGAAAAAAAGAAGGAAAGAAAGAAAAAGAAAGAAAAAGAAGAAAGAAAAGAAAAAGAAGGAAAGAAAGAAAGAAGGAAGGAAAGAAAGAGAAAGGAAGGAAGGAAAAAAAGAAAGAAAGAAAAAGAAAAACAAAGAGAAAGAAGTAAAATGGGTCGAGCGATTCGGGATTCCGAGGCAAGGATCGGGCGCTGGAGGCATGTCGATGCGCTGCGCTTTTGTTCTGCTTTGCAAAAAAAAACCCTCCCCCACCACTCGGAGTCGCCTCGAAGAGGGCATCTTCCCGCAAGAGCGATCCTAAAGACGCCCTCCGACGACGCCCCACCACCCAGCAAGACTTTCTCCCGGACTTGCGGGTCCCGGATCGCTGGAAGGGGGGGGGATGCCGTCTTCCTCTCTGGCTCCCGGAGCGCAGCATTTGGATTCCGCGCACGGGATCGCATCATCGGCCGCCAGGGACCGAGCGCATCGCGCGCGTCGCATCGAATTACCGGGTTTGGCGACAGGCGCTGGGCCTGTTCCATCCCCCCCAGCCCCCCCCCCGGTACGCTTCCAGGAATCAAGAAAGCAAGGTAGGTCGTAAAATGGGGCAAAACACAACACATTTCTCACTTTACAACCTAGAAGTTTGGGCTCAATTGAGTTGAAGACTACCTGTACTTTATTGTATTCTGCCTATAATACAGGAATCTCCCCAGACTGGCAGCCTCAGCCTGGGAACAGATCAATGATTCAAGGCTAACGCCCCACTTATCTCCTCTTCAATGCCTGGCTAGGTGTTTCTCAACACACACACACATACACACACACTGCCATTGGGCCAGGCACCCCAGGACCTCTGATCCTGACTCAACAAGCTTTCCTCCTTAACAAGCTCAACAATCCTTGAATGTGTGGCCCAATCCTCACCGAAAACTTGGCTCTCTGTGTACGTTTGTGTGTGTGTGTGTGTGTGTGTGTATGTAGGGTTGGAGTGATTGTGCTTTTGCCTAGAAAATTGAGGAAGGACAGGAAAGAAGGGAAGATCTGAAGGCAACTGCCCTAAAACAATTTTACAAGTTTCTTCTGGTTCACCAAAAGGAGGGCAGAGTGAAAGAGTGTAGAAAATAAACCAGAGTGTAGAAAACAATACTAATATCCGTTTATTTATTGAAGTTGTATAATGCCCATCTAGCTACCCAAAGTATAAAAAGCTACAGGATACAAAACCGAAATCTACATTAAAAAAAATAAAACCCTAAAAGGCCACTAAAAGGATGATTAGAAGCATTCGATGCTTGTAGGGGAGCATGACGCATTAGGAGCACTCTATCTGACAAACTAGATCCTCCTTAATTCTACTTTTAAGGCACAGGTAGAGCCTGACACAACACTTGTAGTGGAGTTGGGGTGAGAATGGGGCCAGCTGAGAGGCTTTGCAGGAGCCCTGCCGATTAAGCAGGAAGATGAGGAGCTCTGGCAGCTGCCATGGGTCTGGCAGTGGGGCGTAGCTCAGAGGAGGGAAGAAAAAGGAGGAGGACGCCGATAGAAGGGAGGAAGAGAGAAGGCTTGGTGGAGCTTGCCGTTCTGAGCCAGCTGATCGAAGAGAAAGAAGCTGAGGTTTTCGTGTTTGTTTTTTTTTGCTTCATTACAGGCAAGCCGGACGAAAGGGGGAGGGATGAGAGAGTGAGAGTAGTTGCTGGAGCCGTTTGCTTGAAGCAGGTCAGGCAGAAGCAGGCCAGGCATAGAGAGAGAGAGAGAGAGGCTGATTGAAGCTGTTTGCTTGAAGCAGGACAGAGAGAGAGAGAGAGAGAGAGAGAGAGAGAGAGAGAGAGAGAGAGAGAGAGAGAGAGAGAGAAGGAGGGGTGGGGAAAAGTGAAGTTTTATTGTTTCTTTCTCTTTCATTGTGGGCAGGCCAGATGAAGAGAGAGGGGGTAGTTTGGGAAGTTTTAATCCCTTTCCCTCCTTGGAGTAAGTTAGGCAGAGGGAGAGTTAGGGAAGAGTTTGACATATGTCTTTTAGTGGGAGGTAAGGGTTTTTTTTTTCTTTATAGGATCAGCTGGGGGAGATAAAAGGGGATTACATGGAGTGAGGTCAGAGAGGGGCGAGTGGACAAGGGAGGCCTCTGCCAGCGCCAGAGATTGGTTGTCATCGGTTGTCATCGTTCTAGGCAAGTTGTTGTCATCAAAGACAGATTAACATTGTCCTGGGCAAGTTGTTGCCACCAGAGACTGGCTACCATTTTTTTAGGCAAGTTGCTGCCACCAGAGACTGACTGACATCGTCCTAGGCAAGTTGCCGTCACCAGAAGCTGACTAACATCGTTCTGGGCAAGTTGTTGTCATTAGAGACTGACTACCATCTTCCCTGTAAGGTTCTTATTGCTTGAGATCAACCACCATCCACCCATGCGAGTCCCCGTTGAGAGAGAGCGACCATCACCGCCCCATGTGCGTGGCTGCTGATTGTGACTGAATACCACCATGTTACGTGCCCTGTTAGGCAGAGGCACCAACATGAGAGACCTTTTTGGGCTAGTGGCCACTTGGAGGGGAGGTTGGGAGGGCCTGGACTTAAGCGGTCCCTACGGGGGTGGCGCTACATACTGTATGTTGTCGCATGGTTCATATCTGCAAGCAGCAGGATGGTGTAAAATTGTCTGGGGGGCAGCCCGGATTATTCATGCACTACACAGGGAAAGGGAAGAGAAGGAAGGAGAGGTGGTCACAAATGTTATTTTGCTTTCCAGAAACACCCCAGGAAGGAGCAGCCTCAGGGCTGTAAGGGGGCACCACCTCCATGGGGATGGAGCACCCTGATACTCCCAACTGGTTACTGGGGAAGGTCCCATGAGGTCAGGGCCCACCCTGCATTTTGACGAAGAGCCCAACGCTTTGTTGCCACTTCGTGCAGCAGGCGCTGGACCACTCTCTCTTGTTCCCTGTCACCTTCAGAACGGAAGGCCCTGGCTAGCTCTTTCAGATGCTGCTCCAGCTGCTTCTGCTCCAGAGGGTGGTCCCCCGGCACCTCCAAGCAGGCCCGGTACGCCCGCAGCGCTGCCTGCCTCTGCCCCTTCTTGCGGAGGAGGAAATCCCCCCAGTGCAGATAGAAAGACTGCTGGCACCTCTTGCTGGCGGTTGGCAGCTCCTCCATCAAGCCCAGGTAGACCTCCTCCTCGTAAAGCGGGCGCTTCTCTCCGTACAACTTCGCCAGCTTCAGCCGGGAAAACACAGATCCAGGATTCAATTCCAGTGACCGTTTGAAGCACTCAATGGCGTCTTCCACGATTTCCGCTCTGTTCCCCTCGGATCCTTGATCTAAGAGGTACATGTAACGAATGCCAAGGTCATAGTGCAAGAGATAGTAGTCACCTTGGAGGGCGATGGCCTTCTTCAGGGTGGAAATGGCCTGGGAGGTACAGTAGATCTTAATGATCTTGGCGGCCAATCTCAGGAGTTCCGGGTTGAGACTGTTCTGGACCACATCATCAGTAAGGTGCCCCGCTCTTTCACGATCTTTCCAACAGAGAATCTGTGCCAAGTGTACTTTGGCTTCATAATTTTCGGGCTGGCTACGGATCAGCCCTTCCAGCAACTTCTGGCCCTCTTCCTGTAACTTGTCATTGTAAAAGCGTGTCCAGGAAGCAAAGGTGGAGAAAGCCAGGCCCTCCTCCAGCTCCGCATTGGGCTCCTGCAACTCCAGGGCCGTCTCGAAACACTGCCTGGCGAACTGGCCGTTCCGGAAGCCCATGGCCAAGAGGGACCAGCCCTTCTGGGTGTAAACCTCCGCGATCGGGGCCGAGTAGGGCTCAGGGCTGGACAGGTCCCGGCAGATCTGGCAGATCTGTCCCAAGTAGAGGTCTACTCTGTCATAATCGGTCAAGTGGTAGCAGATCCAGGCGTAGTTCCCGTAGACCAGCAGGACCTGGCGTGAGAAGGTCTCCTGAGGTTCCTTCCTCAAGATCTCCTCGGCTTCCTGCAGGATGTCCAGGGCCTCTTTGGGGCTCCCCTCCAGATGGTGCAGATAGGCCTTCAGGGCGAGATAGGTGCCCCGGTTACAGAAGGGGTCGTGCTCCAGGCGGAGAGACAGAGTCACAAGGGAGTGCCTGATGTTCATTTTGTCCTTGACCTCAAAATCCCAGGTGAAGTGACACTGCAGGCGCTGGAGCTTCTCCTTCAGGGGTCTGCCGGGGGGTGGGGAGCGGGAGGGGAAGACAAAATGGAAGAGCCCTGGGTGAGTGGCAAAGGACACCTGCCCTGGGAGGGAGGGGGAGGCGGGCTCAGATAATGCGTTGACCACAACGGAGCTATTCAGGCTAGCCTGTGAACCTGGCCAAGTCTGGCTACTCAGGGGAAGCAGACCCTGCCAGCGTGTGGACCCCAGATTTCCCGAGGGACTCCTTGGATGGGGAACCCACTCTTTGGGGTCTTACACAGAAGCTAGCTTCCAAGGAAGGGAACCCATTTGCGCCTCAAGTCTTAAAAGCTCCCGGGAGCTTTCCTGCCCCCCTTTTCCCTTCTAGGGACACCCACCTGGCTGCCTTTGCTGTGCTTGCCCTTCCTCCTTCCTGGGGGGGGGGGAAGGGTTAGGGTTCAACAATACAGGTAGTCCTCGACTTACAACCCTTTGCTTAGTGACTGTTCAAAATTACAACGGCATGGGAAAGACCGTTTTCCACACTTATGACCCTTGCAGCCTCCCCGTGGTCACGTGAGTTCCACCGACTCACATTTGTGACGGTCGCAGTGTCCCCCTGGGGTCGTGTGACCCCCTTCTGCGACCTTCTGCCGAGTCAACGGGGAAAGCCGGATTCACTTAACGACCGTGCGACCAACTTATCTATCGGTGATTCACTTAACACAACGGCAGCAAGAAAAGTCCCAAAGTGGGACAAAACCCACTCAACCAATGTTTCGCTTAACAACAGAGGTTTGGGGGATCAATTGTGGTCGTTAAGTCGAGGGCTTGCCTGTACTTGGCCTCTGTTGGGCACAGAGCAGCTGAGGCTCTGTCTGTTGTGTGAATGCCCAGGGACACATAAAAGGGAGACCTTCATCCCTGGCGAGGAACGGACCCTCCCGGAAGCCAGGTGGTGGAAAGAGGGGAGGGGACACTTTTGAAGCCGATTGTGTAGGGGAGGACTGCACCAAACCCCACTAAAATCTGATGCCCTCCATTGTTTCAAGTTTGAGATGGAGTTTTTGATGGGCCCTGTGATGGGTTGGGCTCTCTGGGGGGGGGGGTTATGGGGCAGGAGGGCATCTGCCTTTGGCTGTTCCGGACTATTGCCAGAGGGGGGGCACCCTTGCAATGCTCCCTCCCCAGCCGAGAGTCCCACACCTTGGGGGCTGCAAAGGGTTGTAAAGGCAGGCAGGAAGGCTGTTGCGGAGTGGGGGGGGAAGGAGGGTTGTGGGGCCCTCTGCTGGGGTGGGGCTCTAAGGGGGCCAAGGCTACTCAAGACATGGGGAGCTGGTCCCTCAGCTGGGATGGGGGGGCAGCCTCGCCAGAGTCTCCTTCCATGCAGAGTTTGCTGGGGTGGGGGGCT